AAAGTCACAGGTGGTTCATTTCTGCAGAGCATGAATGAGACTTTCAGCACCAGAAAAGCTTAATTGGAGCAAAGCACAGTTTGGTCACTTTTATGTTTTATCCCACAACTATTTTCAACCTTTTAGGGAATCCCAGATGTAAGGAAAGGCTTATTTATGTTCTCTTTCTAGAACAGCTTTAAATTGATCATTGTCAAAACCACCAGGGCTGCAACTAATCAAATGATCGCGATCAATTCATATATTCATTACTTTTCTGATTTATATGCGTCGCCGCCTTCTGTTCCAAAAAAGACCAAAGTTTCCAAGAAAGGCCATGGGTGGTAACAGGTGGTTTCCAACTTCTGATTTGACTTATTTATAGTAAAAGCAAATACAAAATAATTACTTCAAATGTGTTGCAACTTAGTCGAAAAAAGTGTTAAAAAAAATCCTTTTGCCAAACCTTCTGTCCACACGAACAATCCAGCAGCACCCGGTGTGTTCTTAATTACTCAAATTAATGGGAGGGGCTAACAATTAACGTCATCTAAATAAATCCAGATATAAAAAATGAATTACAAATTTTGGTTCCAAATTAACTAAAATATGTTCTAACTACACAAAGAAAAAAACTAAATTGGTAGAAATTACAAACTAAAAACATGTTGCATAAATGGCCACAACAATAAATAAAGAGATAGTTTGGGTTAGGGCTGCAACTAACGATTAATATGCAAATCGATTAATCTGTCACGTTTTTTCGATTAATTCATTGATAATTGGAGAGCCAAAGGTTTACGAAATCAAACCAGTGGAAACTAAAATTTTTTGTAGTTAAAATTTTGCACTTTCTTTTTCTTAAATGCAAAATGTTCATATATTTTATTACAATTTTGATATACTTACTGCTGTCAACCAAAGGCAAGTCTCTATACTCCAGTGAATGATTAATCGATTACTAGATCAGTTGATGAATATTTTAATAATCCATTATTCACTATTGCTAAATTAACTTTCCTCAATAAGAAAATGTTTAGGACTTAAATAAATCTTAAATGAAATGTGAATGCTAGAACCATGTAAGAGAAACCTAATTCAATGCTCACAACACTAAGAATAATAAAGTTTTTTTTTTTCCTTATTCAGATATGTACATTTGAGCCTAAATATTTTCTTGGTATTTGATTAATATCTTAGATAACTTTACAATTAAAGGTTTAATAATTTGGTAGAAAAAGGTGCTTAAAATGTTTTGCAATATAAACCTTTCATATCAGTCAATATTGATAAATATTGATGAGTATTTTTCCTTTGAAATAAGGACTGGGTTAAAAAAATATGAAGTCTATAAAGTAACCTTATTTAAACATAAAGTTTAACCTTTAAAACAATTCAGCCCTGTTGGCACATCCTTCCTCTGTTCTTTCCTTTCATCATTTACTTGCCCCTTCTCCCTTACCTTCCTTCCTTCCTTCCTCGCTCCTTGTCCTCTTTCCTTTGTTTAATCTACTTTTTATTACTTTCCTTTCACCTATACATCCTTCCTTTTGTTCCTCCCTTCCTCCATTTACTTGCCCCATTTCATTACCTTCATTCCTTCCTTGTCCTCCTTCCCTCGTTCCATCTACTTTTTACTACCTTTCTCATATACATCCTTCCTTTGTTCCTTCTTTCCTTCATTTACTTGCCCCATTTCATTACCTTGATTCCTTCCTCCCTCCCTTTCCTCTTTCCTTTGTTTAATCTACTTGTTACTACCTTCCTTTCACCTCTCCATCCTTCCTTATTTCCTTCCTTCATTTGCTTCCCCCTTCTCCCTAACCTTCCTTCCTTGCTTCTCTACATCCTTCCTTAGTTCCTTCCTTCCTTCATTTACTTACCCCTTCTCTTTTCCTTCATTCTTTCCTTCCTCCCTCCCTTTCCTCCTTCCATCGTTTAGCTTAGTTTGCCTGCTCAGTTTGAAGCTAACTCCTCTCCTCTGCCTACATCTCCCAGAATAATAATATATTGATTATAATCAGGTGTCCATCGCGATATGTCTTGATTTATTGCGCAGCACTGGTTAACTGGTTTAAACACACTGATTTTGTACAGTTTATGGCTTAATTACTGCTCTGGGTGGCTTGTTCTTTCATTATATGTCTGGTTTCAGACTCTATATTCCATAAGATTAGTTTAACATGGTAAGATTATTTCCATCTGTTTAGCAGAATTAATTGTTTTAGCCCTAATATTCTTTTATTTAAAACATGTAAAAAATGTTGGTGTGATATTTTCTCCTACATCGTTTCAAACAGAAAGTGTCACAGCCGCCTTTTTCAGTCCAGTAGTCTTAAAAAAAATCCCTCCTGGTCAGTTTGGCAACAAGCTGTGTAACCATGGTAACAGCTATTTTGATGGATGATGTACAGCATGGTGATCATCAGCCGCTTTGCCAACATTACAGCTGGTTTATATGTTTGCTGTAAAATATCTACAAGCTCTTTGGGGATCAGAAATGGTCTCTCACTTGTAGGCAGTCGTTTTTTTCATGCGGTACGCGTCCAGAATGGGTTCCCTGTTGTGCTTTAGTGGGCACCTCTCAGTCTTACCTGGAAGCAAACTGTGATTGCTCCTGGACAACAATCAGTCTTCTTATTTTTTCTCACAGCTCCTGTACCGATGCGGATCGTTATAGTTTCCTGACAATTGTTGGTCTTTACACTGTTGCCTGGTGATTTAGCCCAAGCATTGAACGTATGGTCTCACAAATCAGCCATAGTTACCCAGACAAACATCCAATACAGAGTTTTTTCCTTTTTTTTTTCTTTTAACATTTTTACAGAAAAACCAGAAAGTCCTAATATAACCTGCTGAAAACAGTCATGGATAGGGGAACAGAAGACATCGCCTGTTCATCCAGGACAACCATTCCCTCTACTAACCCCCAATTTCAGAGACTTAGACGGGTATGGGGCATTGCAGACTGATTCAGTTTGCTTGTTTTCTAAGCCAAAACAAAGCTTTGTTTTTGGTCCTGTACTGTATAAAGCCTGGAACTCAACGCTATTTCTGACATTTTGAATTGAAAAAGCTTCCTGGATGGGAAGCAAAACGTCTTCAAACTTGGAAACAAAGTCCAGTAGATTGTTTTTTATCTTTTTTGGAATCATGGATAAATATTTTTGACTTGAAGGAAACCATCTAAGTCATCAGTTAACATGTTAATTAGGGATGTAAATCATCTTTTTGACGGCCCAGTGTTGTGCCGGTGTTTTTTTTTTTTTTATTAATTTTCACAACATTGCAAATTCTATCCTGATTCATTATTGAATCAATTAAATGTACAATCTGCAATATCATATCACCATCTAACAAAATCAAAATCTCTGGCTTAAAAAAAAAAAAAACTAAACAAAACAATGGCAGCGTAGATCTTTCACTCTGAGATTTCCAAGCAATGAGAACGGTCAGGTTTTCGACTCCAAAGCTGACGGTTCCTATCATACCCTTATTAAAAGTAGTAAAGTCTGTTTCTCATTGGTTCATCGCTTATTCTTGATGAATTGAAAAAAGGTGATGTATGATTAACAGTTGGACGACTAGTGAAATGATGTCACTGCTGCTGCACATTTCATAGTTCCCAAAAATAAAAGCATTGCTTATAAACAGCACAGCCTGCAGTGATCTTTGGTTCAAAATGCAAACTGATGGTTCTCAGTCAATGTTCACTGAATGAAGAAAGAAAAAGGTTTATGAATGATTGTTCAGCGTTCAGTCTGATCAACCAAAACAAAGCAGTTCCAGTCAGTAAACAAAGTTCTCTTAATTTTTAGGGTTTTATAGTCCGTCTGCTTTAAGCAGTGGTTCTCCAAATGAGGAGCATGCCCTCTAGGGGTGGCCCAGTGTAACTGCAGGGGGGCCTGCCACAGACAAATTGAGTAAATGACCAATTTTTAGAGGTATTTTATAACAAAAGTGCTCGCTTGCATTGATGAATTCTGCTTAAATAAAAAGTTGATATTAAGATGATTGCTTTAAATGTGGAAGTTTGTCTTGATTTAAATAAGATTTGTTGAGTTTTAAAACAGGGAGGCAGAGGAAGAAGAAGAAGAATTCCTCCAGGCTGAATCCTCCTGTAGACATGAGAAAGAATTATTCAAATAAAAAAATATTTAGAATCTGATCTAATTTATCTACCATACAAAATGAAAAATAAGTTTAAAAATAATGTTTGTAAATAAGCCAGAAAACTTAAAATTCTCACAACTTATAATAAAGACAGAGTCAGTTCATCTAAACCAGTTTGTTTCTAAATATCTGCAATAAATGAGTCCTAAGTCAGTTTTTAAAATTAAAATTAAAAGTCTTTTATGTTGCGTTAATTTCTATATTAGACGTCCATGATCACGTCTCAGGTTAGCAGTTTAAATCCAAGCCGTCCCCACATGAAGGAGCTTTTTTATTTAGATCTTTTCCCTGTGTTAATGTTTAATTGGTCAGCGCTTTCAGCTGGCGAGGAACACATGTCAGCTTTAAGCGTATCACCAATAATAATAAAAAATGTAGGAATTAAAAGATGAAGGGCTTTGTGCCTCTTCTACGCTCCTCTGTCATTTTCCTGTCTTAAAACAGCTTTGTTTTTTTTTTCCCTCCACTCCTGCTACTGGATCAATATCCAGGAACAGAGCACATCCAGTCTGATAATGACAAACCAGAAAGGCAGAGGGGGGGGGCAGACAATTCGCTCTGGAAGCCATTATGCTCCTGCTCCACATTTCAATGCATATTCCTAAACAGTTGGAAATGAAAGGCCATGCGTGTCCCCGGCTGAGATGCTCACATGTTTGCATTATGCATGGCGTTAAATGCAACAATCTGCATGGGCTGATGGAGGAGAGGACGTTTATGACTCCTCTATATTCCTGCTGTTTGTTTTTCCGTGCAGGGAGTCTGAAAGTACGGCTCGCTTTGGATACAGATCTTGGTATTCGAGAGTTAAATTAAAGCTTTCGTTTCTTTTCTTCTCTCCCCACCAGTCATCCTGAGTCCATTTGGCCTGAAGGGAACGCTGACCGGCCAGTCGTTTAAGATGTCGGACCCCCCCACGCAGAAGCTGATCGAGGAGTGGAACCAGTTTTATCCCATCAGTCGCAGCAACAAGGACGGGGCTTTAGACGATAAGTCTGAGGTTCTGGACTGGGAGGATGATTCTCTGGCCTCTGTAGAGGTCCTTGTCGGTGAGTTTTTGTCTTCAGCTCTTTTTTAACGCGTTCAGTTCTGTCGTTTTAACGTCCGGTCTGCTTGTGATGGGCTAGGCGGAGTGCGTATGGTTTACCCAGCCTGCCTGGTGCTCGTACCCCAGTCAGACATCCCCGTCGTGGCCCCTGTGGGGTCCTCTCACTGCACTGCCGTCTACCCGGGTGGCCAACAAGTGCCTGCTTCCCAGCGAGAGCCTGCCATGTCACTGGTGACCCTCACCCCTCCCACGTCACCAGAGGACGCTCACACAGGTAGCGGGGCGCTTTCAGAACTGCCCCCTTTCAGGGTTATCGTCTGGTCTTTGAACCCCTGGTCTGTTTCTGTCTCCAGTCGACTCTCATTCGGCCCAAAAGTGGGTTAAGATGCCATCATCGTCAGATTCTTTCAGCGTGGACAGAACGAGTCACCACGGGGGGAAGATTCCTCGCAGGATGGCCAGTCAGGTGGTGGAGCGTGTCTGGCAAGAGTGCAATATCAACAGAGCGCGGAACAAGTGAGTATGCATCCGTCTGTGCCGTACCACGCCGATTTACCGAACAGAAATATAGAAATTAAACATCTACAGGTGCAGTGATCGCCATTTTAAACTCTCAGCTCTCTGCCTCCACTTCAGATTGGTTTTCTCTCTACTGACGAATAGTTTCCTTAATCTTCCTTAAATCTGATTTTTTTCAGTTAAAGTCTAAACCAAAGAAAAAGAATATCATAAATGGTGGCATCTCTTGGTTTGGATCATCAGGCAGAGCAGATCTAAAGTCCGGACCAGTTGTTAGTTTTGCTGGTTGGAGTATTTCTGCTACGTTCAGACTGCAAGCAGCAGGAGAAGCAGAAACATGCGCGTTGCTCCATTTTTGATGCTGGTACAAGTTTAGTCCTGACGTGCAGATGAAGCATTTTTGCTGCTCAGTGGAAAAGTGGGTCTGATGCGCGTTGGGCGGAGCTTCCCTATCCTTTCTTTGCCTGGAACAATGGCAGCTATATTTGCTTTGATCAGTGGTAGTTTTTAATTGAGAATGTCCAGCTGAAAACATGGTCAGTGCAGTCAGTTCATCCAGATTACCATCCTGCCTTCAAATATTATTTTGCTGTGGGAGTGCTCTTTCACTGGGAATCCCATTCAACAGCAGCCTCTGGCCCAGACGCCTCTTCTCGGTTTGCCGCTACCGTTCGCAGCAGCTGGAAGTGGATGTTAGCGTTTTTACACGTACGCAATCCAAACTGCAGGCACCAGAATAATAAAAGCAAACATGTTTTGCCAGCAGATTTTCAGCATTTTAACATAATTTAGACGTTAATAAACTGTTTCGGGGGAGAAATCTTATCTCCCTGCCAGCTCCCAGATCAGCTTCTCTGATTGGCTGATGTGGCAGCTCCAGCAGCTGCTGCTTTCACGGTGCTTCAGTTGCTCAGAGGCTCGTTTAAAACGCGCTGCAGGACCTTTTTCTGCGCCTTGATGCACCTCAATCATCGACTTTGCATATGAACTAGCTGCTCCCGCTGCCTCTGCTGCTTTAGGTGTGAATGTTGCCTGATACCAACTTAATCTTTCATAAATAAAAAAGATCTCATACTATATATCGTTAGTCTAATTCGGTAGTTCCTTTTTTTTCCTGGCACCCCATTTGATGCCATCGATCCATCAATCTGAGAGGCTTATCAGCAATTAATAGTCCAATAATAACAGATATCTAAAAGCAGTCATTTATTTAACGCAGCAACATGAGAACTGTCCCTTTTAGAGATAGTTTTGTTCAGCAGTAGACATAATAACTGACATATTCTAGCTCCGCCCCAAAGTCTCTTTAGTTTTGTTTTTCAAGAACTGACTTTTTTTTTTTTGTTTTATTTCTTTTTTGATTCTTTGGGAACCTTTTTGAAATTCTTCTGCTTGACATTTAGAACTGATCTAAAAGCTAAATCTGGAATGTTGGTGGGTAGTTGAAATAACGCTGCGAACAGTTTGTTCCAGTTTGGTGTAATTCAGCTTCGGTGCCTCAGACACCCTGGGATCCGTTACCCCTTGACCGAGCACAGAATGCCAGCTATATTTAGCTTTTGGCTCTTCAGCCCAAATATTGTGACTCCACGCATGGCGATGCAGCCGCACAACAAAGCTTTGCCCAAACCGGACCTTATGCCGCAGAAAACCTCTGAGTCACTTTATATCTTTATTGTTTAAAGCTTTGTGCTTCATAAACTCTTTAAACACATTAAACACACGACATGGATGAGGATCTGGCTGAGCTGTGCTGTTTTTCCTCTTCTCTTCTCTCAGGCGGAAGTTTCCAGCTGCGTCCAACGGTACCTGTGAAGACGAGGTGGAGGCCAAAGTCGGAGCCTGGGATTTTGTGGTGCCTTCCCAGAGATCCTGCTGTGGCTGCTCCAGGTAGGTAGCAGCTGCACAAAAAGTTTTCACACCCCCTTTCACCGTTTCACTTATGTTGTATTTTTTATTTTTTTGGGTTAAGTAATGATTATGAAAATTAAACCTTTTTTTTATTTTATAAACCAAGAGATGTGGTTTTAATTTATCAAGCCCTGAACATGCCGAATCTGATTTTGCATCCGATCCGACAGAAAATTGTGCCGAACGAGGTCGTGGCGTTAAGCGCTCAGTGAAAGTCAATGGGGATGATCACATTCGACGTGATTTTCTGCTAGAGGGCTGTTTAGGTCCGGCTGAGATAGACCCCAGGTCTGTTTTAGTCGGACTACGCAGCAATTCAGCTGCAATTTCATCTCCAAGATACAATCTGCTAATCACACTAATCATACACTGGGATTTTGGGGGTGGAGCATCGCTTATATAGTAACTGGGAGAGACCGGTGGAAAAACAATGAATGAAACATTAAAAAAATAGAATACTTTACCCATGATAGGGGTTCAGGAGGACAGGAAATGGATAAAGTAGTGATCCTTTTTGAGCCTTGCAAAAATAACAAGGGACAGAAAGCAGTTTACAATCTCCAGATAAATCTCCAGATAGAGTAAAATAGTTATCCTAATAGAACCTCCCCCCCCAAAAAAACAAGGAGGGGCCGACGGAGCAGGTAAGCACAGCTTATCATTCCGCACTCTTTGAAAAAAAAAAAAAAAGAAATGCTCGTACAAACTTCACAAGTCTCTGAGAATCACCTCTTTGCCTAAGTCAGCATAGAAACCGTCCCTCAGCGTTTTTTCTGTTCTTTACACATAGCTGCCAATAAAAGACATTAAATTATTATTTTTTAAAACAAGGCCTTAATTGACTTTGAAATTCATTAAATGTGATTATCAGGGCATTTAAAATGCTTTATTTAAAAAAAAAAAAAAAAGTGTTTGCGCTGAACTGCTTCCGGTTGGTAAAGCCGTATGTTCGGTTCAGAAGCTAAAGGCAGAGAAAAAGCTAGAGGATGCGAAAATGCTAATTTCAACAAAAGCGGCTGGAAAACGAGGAAGTCGGGACATGGCTGCAGCTTGTTGATGGTAAAGATGACGCAGATGTTGCCATGTTATATATGTATGTTATATTAGAGTCACGGGTCCTTATTAAAGGCATTAAAATGATTTCTAAGGGCATTAAAAAGCATTCAATTAGAGTTACTCATTCATATATAAACCCTGTTTTAATATAGGCCTATAAAGATTCTCTATCTGTTCTGGTTAGAGACGCTGTTTCTGGACTTTGCTTTATATCGATGAGGGTTGTTTTTATTTTTTATTTCATAATTTTAATAATTTTCCAAGTCAAGTCAAATGTGGGAAATAGTTGTGGCACAGAGACATAAGAGGGAAAACTCTGTGCAGATCTGTTCACCCTGCCTAGTCGGAGCCTCTCTATATGCAGTCAGTGTGACGTGGAAATTAAATTGGGTTGGAGATTAAAAAGTCGTAACAATCAGTGTTTTCAGGTCTCAACTCTGAGTAAAATCTGGTTAACACGCCTCCTTTAGAGGATTAATAGAAAAATAGCATTCAGTGTTTAATGCTTCTTCGACAATAGAAAGAGAAAATCAAATCTTTTTTTAGTGTGTCTGATAAGCTATTGCTTAAAAAGGTTTGTGGTGTTGGAACATCACAGGGGGAAACAGTTGGCAGCCAGTCTGTGTTTTCACAAGCAGGTTATTCTTCATATTTAACGATTAATCGGTATTCAGGCTCTGTGACATCATAGACAATGATGGTTCATCCTTTATTAAACCAAGAGTGGAAGTCTTTACTGGATTATTTTTTCTCTGTCAATAAATTACTCGTCTTAGCATAAATCTTTAGAGTAGGGAGAACGTGTCTAAGTGTGCTGGTTCGTATCGTCAGCTGTTTTTGTGTTTCTCTTTGCTGCAGACATAAAAACGTAGCGAAGCAGCGCCCGGGCGGCGCCCCGGGCCAAACACAGTCCACGGCTCAGGCCTCCCAGCCTCCAGCCAAGCACAAAACTGGAGGAGAGAAGCCGGAGAAAGGAGAGAAGCAGCCCAAGAGGCCGCAGACGCCGTTCCATCACCGCAGCTCCACCAGCGAGGAGGCCTCCATGGAGAACGAGGCGGCGGTGGGCCAGAGGCTGGCCCTGAGGGGGCAGGACGGGGGACGCTTCCGATCCTCCGATGTTAGCAGCCTCACTAAAGCCACGCAGCTCCACGGCGAAGCCATCGGTGCGGGGCCCTCAGAACAGTCCAACTCCCCCCAGCCCCCGCCACTTAGCCCCCACCCCTGCGAGCGCAGTGAGGAGTCAGGGGAGGCCATAAAGAACCCTTCCACCCCCAACAGCCAACACTTTTACCAGCTGCCCCCAGAGCCCTGCCTGGCGGGGGCGAAGGGAGGCAGCGAGGAACCCGGCGGCCCCGAGGGCATCAGTCAGCACTTTCACTCCCATCCAGGGAACTCGGCTTTCTCCGAGCCTCCTGAGCCCACCATGTACGTGGGAGCAGCCGTCGACCTGGAGGACGACGGCTCCCACACACCGTGGAGGTTATTCAACCTGCCTCGCAGGAAGGAGGCGGAGCTACCTACGCCGCCGCTGCCTGGAGACAAGCTGAGGGACGAGGCCGCCGCATCGCAGGACCTGGTGTCGGTCACAGAGTGAGTGTCAGCGTTAAGCTTTACAGCCAGTGTCTCCGTCCATTACTACATTCCTCTCACTGTTTCCATGGTCCCAGGCCTTAAGGCCGATTTATGCTTCTGATTCATAGCCTCTGCAACCATCAAATCTGTCTCTGTGGGCGACCACGCCCCATAAGGTTCTGCAACCATCATCGCGCACCTCAAAAAAATCCTGACTACACGTCAGACAGTCGTAAACTCGCACAGACCTCAAGCGGAAGTGCGCAGACAAAAAGCAGCCGTGATTGGTCCTTGGTATGCCTTTCCGGCTGTCTGTGTGGTCGTCCTTCTCGATTCGGTGCCGTGGCACGCCATTTTTAAAAACAAAGGAACAACTAAAATGGACAAATATGACGAAAGGTTAATCGGTCTTTTTGCCAACTCCATTAACAGAACCTGTTCCTCTTCGATGTCTAGCAACTCTAGATCCATCTACTTGACCGTGATATCTTGCAGACGCGCCATGGTTGTTTTGGAAAATAAACACTCCCTCCGGCGCCGCCGAAGTTCTCGAATAGGCTCCCTATTGCACTTTGGCGGGAAACTGCTGTACGTCCCTAGAAATTCCAGACCGACGGTGCAGAAGCATACCAGCAAAACCAGACCCAAGCGACATTTGATGTGTGCGGATGCAGAAGTATACTCTGCCCTTTAGACCCCCCCTCTTTTTAGGCGCTTAGTCTGGTCCATCTGTAGCTTTTTGACATCATACGTTACGTCCTGTAACCTGTAGGGTCAATTCTGCAAAACGCTCTAAGAAGAAGCTGCTGGTGAGGAAGCGTAGCTGGAAAGAGCAGGTGTTCGGCATGTAGTGGGAGGGATTACTGTATCAGCAGGGTTCAGTCGTCCCAAGGGCCCAGCTGTTCGGACGGCCCTTTCTAGCGAGCTGTAATCCTTCCAGCCACAGACTCTGAATGGCCTCTAATCTCCTGCTCGGGCCACTGCACACACCGCCTTACATCTGGGCCGGACCAGCATGTCCAGCAAAAAAAAAGATGGACAATTGATGCATCAGCTGGCTCAGTCCCTGCTCTCCATTCCTTCATGCTTCTCTGATCTGCAAGCAGGACGCAGCCGTAGATCCGATGTTGAGAGCGATGCCACCACGATCAGCTTCTAGATGTGTCAACGGGTTGTTTTAAAAGCTGCAGAAATAGGATTGAGCGAACATGCTGCATGGATTGGAGCTCATGGCAGCTGTCAGAACTGTTTGCAGTCGGTGACATTTATGTTACTGCATGTAAACATGACAGCAGCACTGACATATGCTATAAGATACCATCTGTTCCCTCACAGGACTCATCTTGTAGAGCGGTCCTCCATAAACTAGACTATTTAGCAGTTCTTGGTCAGAGATCCGTAGAGAAATGAACTGTAGATCAGAATCGGCTGCTTTACTTTTGAAAGTTTCCATCTTATTATTAAATGAACTAAAAGAAAAGGCATCCAGCTCAAACTGCCAACCATCCTCTTCAGCTGAAAGCTGTTATTGGTTGAACAAGTTCAGAAGCAGTGCAGAGAAGTGAAATAGTTTTGATGAAACGTCTCCATTTAATTCAGGTTGGGGAGAAAAAACGAGAGCAAGACTTTCAGCAGATAACAGGAAGGTTTTAATGCTACTATTGCTGCAGTTTTACCCCAAAAACATCAATTTATCAATAAGTAATAAGAACTCAGAGGGGATAATTTCTTATTGGTTATAGTCCTACAACATTGGAGTTTACATTAGGAGTTCATCCATCTTTGTTTCCCCCACAGAGTGATGTCTACATCTAAAATGCCACTAAAGGTGTCTGAGGAGCGGCTTCAGATGTATAGAGCCAGGAGGAACCAGTACTTATCTGCTGCCGTCACGGATGGAGACCACGAGCCCGAGGTGGACCCCTACGCCTTCGAGGAAGGAGACGTCAAGTTCACATTCTCCAACAAGAAGGATAAAGGGGCGGGAGAGCGGGAGCCAGGCAAGAAGAACAAGGTAGGGGAAAAGTTCTCACTGCTGCGATGAGGTCAACTTCACCGTTCATTCATTACATCAGTATTAGCATCGCATCGCGTCACTTCCTCGTTACAGACCACTAAACAACTTTATTTAGTGCGAAGAAATGATTGAATGCATAAAAGCAATTTTAAACATTCCTTATAGTAGAAGGACCATCTTCAAAACAATGTAAAATTTACAAGACTGAACGTTTTGGACTCCAGGCCAGTGTTTTTTGGGTTTTTTTTTGTGGCTGTAAGAAGAGGTTATTATGCGGGTCTTTAAAAAAAGTAATTAAATTATAAATTTTTTGATTAAAGCCTTAATTGGCATCAAAATTCTTTAAATGGGATTATCGTAAATCCTCTAATATAGGCCGGGGCCCTTATTTCACTCAGGTACATCCTGGTCCAGGCCATTATTGAAAGGTGGTGAGAGTTGGAGGCAGGCATCTATTTCTATTTGATCAAAACAGACTACCAGTGGAATGAATAAAAACAAGATTTTGTGTCTCTTTGAAGCTATAAAATACTAGGTTCATTTATTGAAAAAGTACAGTTACCATAACGGTACACAGAACATTATTCAGACATCTTCAAGCAGCTGCAATTTTTCTGCACGGCAATACGAAGAAAAAGACAGAGAAAGCAATCTTGGCCAAACTGACCTGCGAAACAAAGTAAAAAAAAAATTAATGGAAACTGTTTTTTCATCACAGCAAAATTTTATTTGAGGCAGACTAAGTGGAAGTAGGCTACCAGTATCATATATTTCAAGGGAAATTCAGAACATGAAGGCCAACGAAATTGTCATTTTAACGCTGCCTGGTTACCACCAGACCTACCGGTAATCACATTTGTCTTTCAGATCAGAACGATTGTGTGGCTGGTAATACTTCCCGCAGCAGGTGTCGCTTGACACAGACATTTTTGATTTATGCTCAATATTGAAGCGTGGTCGGCGCTATACGTTGTGGGTCTAAATACGGCCGAGGTGGAGAGGAAGTGGGGGCGAGTTGTCCGGCGTGGTCGTTTTTTATCCGTCTCGTTCAGTTTGTCGACTCTTTCTATCAACAAATCTTTTGTTTTGTTTGTTTTTGCGCTGATATATTCCTGTTTTTTTAAGAGCAGCGACTCTTTCATGTAATGGAACCAGAGACTTTATTTGCTTGAGATCTGGAAGGAAACGAGGTAGAAAATAGGCCACTGGCGTCCTTAGCAGCACAGCAGTAAAAATAGCTTTCCTCCTGGATGTGGTTCTTTGACTGGCCGTGTTTAAACTCAACAGGAAGCCATTCCTCAGTCACTATTGTTAGTATTTCCCAATGCAGCAGCGAATCAGTTTCTCCCACTGTTTGATCGCTCCCCTTCCTCAGTGGACTCTGATGGCTCTAGCTCCAGCCTCCTCAAGGAGATCCACTGATAATCTAATTATTGGTCAGACCTTCCACCTTAACACCACAAAAGGATGCTTTAATATTTGTCTTCCTGTGGGTCTGGTGAATACTTTCTCACATTTTCCGATCTTAAAGCAGCACTTGATGGAGCACCAGTCCATCTGATTTAGGTGGCATCTGTACCTCTGCATATATGTTGGTGTTTAAGCAAATACATGGATTCCTTTTCTACCCCAAGTTTATATCCAAATCAGTGTTTGTTCACTGGAAAAAATCGAAATCTAGATTATCTAAGATAAGTCATTTTTTCTTAAAATAAGTGCATTTGTTCTTGAATTGAGAAGGTAACAGGGACATTTTGCCAATGGAACAAGACAATTTACATTTAAAATAAGAAAACACAATCGCATTGTCTTATTTCAAGTGCATTTTATCCAAATATCTTATTTTAAGAGTAAACTCATTCCGTTGGGAAATAATCTCATTTACCTACTTTAAATAAGGGTAAATAGACTTAATTTAAGAAATTTCTAATTATTTCTGGATCATTTTTCCAGTGTTCTCTTTGCTCTTAAGCGGAGGTCTTAAACAGGGGATCCACGACCCCTAGGGGGTCCACAGAGGTACTGCATCTGGGTTGCGAAAGTTTTGGTTGATTAGACTTTTTATCTATGTTCCCCCCTGCAATTTTTTCCACTATTTGAAATGTCTTTAAATCCACATTAACATGAATTCA